TCCTCCTCCTCATCCTTTTTCTCCTCCTTCTCCTCTTCCTCCTCCGCCTCCTCCTCCTCCGCCTCCGCCTCCTCCTACTCCTCCTCCTCCTCCTCCTCCTCGTCCTCGTCGTCGTCATCGGCGCACCCTCGGAGGGGGCCCAGGAGGGCCCCGAGGAACCAGGATGCTCGATTCCCCCGTGATTCTTGCGGGAGTTGGGCGTGCTCGACCTTTCGGGCTGCTGACTGCCCAGGACGACCGAGGAGGCACCCAATCTCGCACCAAGACAGCGCAAGAGGGACCCAAGAGGGACCCAAGACAAGAGGGACCCAAGAGTCCCCAAGGCGGCCCCTCTTGACATGAGGAAATCCACACGGCAATTCGCGCTCTCTGCCCCAAGATGATCCCCGAGACCGCTAGCAGGCACTCAAGGGACCCCAGAACTCTGGGAGCCCCCCAAGAGGCCCAAATCAGACCCCAAGAAGCATTCAAGAGGTACTCAGCAGGCCCAGAAGCACCGCCAACCCCGCCTCCAAGAGGCTTCCGCGAGGCCTCCCAGCAGATCCCCACAGGCACCCAAGAGGCATCTGACTTACAGCCTGGGCCTGGTGGCGGAATGGGCCGCAACTCACTATATCCGCCGCCCCCTGTGGCTAGCACAGCGTGCCAGATCTTAAATAGTTGTTGGTTACTTAATGCATTCCCAAATGTATTCGGCCCAACCCGCGGGTGCGACTTGAAAGCCGCCGAAACTTAGTATCTCGTCGGTCTGGCCATGGACAACAGCCCTAAGGTGGCCTCCAAGACAAACAAGCTGGTCTCCGAGACGGCTGCCATAGCCCAAGATGGCCACAAGATGCATCCATGACGGCCCGAGATGCCCTCAAAGATGGCCTCAAGATCACCCAAGACGGCCGAGGCTTGCAGGACGGCCCGAAAGGCCTCCAAGAGGATCTCCAGGAAAGTCCGAAGAGGCTTAAACTATCGATGCTCCTTGCGTGGTTGGAGGAGTTCGGTGTTTGCCCATGCTCCGCATTCCGACTGCGCAAGACGGACCCAGAAACCACTAGTATGGCCCCATGTGCGCCCACGGGGTCTCCAAGACGGCCCGCTGACGGCCCAAGAGGTCCCCAAAGAAGCCCCAAGAGGGCCCCATAACGGCCCAGGAGACCTCCAAGGCACACCCAAGGCAGCTTCCAATACAGCCCTGAGGCACCTCATCTGGGCCCGAAGTCGGCCCAGAGAGGCCCCGAAGATGGCCTCCAAAGGCGTCAGACGGGCCAGGAACGCTGACAGACAGACCAAAGAGCCTCCCAAGGAGCCCCAAAGGCTCCCAAGAGGCCCAAAGAAGCCCCCGAGAGGCCTCCAAGAGGCCCCCAGGAAGCTCCCAGGAGGCCCCGAGAAAGCCATGAGGCTCCAAAAGACGCCTCCTCCTCCTCCTCTTCTTCCTCCTCCTCCTCCGCCTCCTCCTCTTAGTATTTCCTCTTTCTCCTCACCTTCCTCTTTCTCTTCTCCCCAACGTGTCTTCCAAAGAGTGTCCGCAACAGCTGGCTGAACTCATAGTTCGGTAGCTTGGCCGAGCTCTGGTCGCCACGTTCGGCTGGCGCGGTGATTCACCGCAGGCGTCTTCGATGTCAGCACGATCTCTCTATACACATGTATAGGCACACATATACGCATGTAGATATGTTGACGTTGGACATGTTTACGTGTATGTATGCTATTCGCGACCCTGCTCAGGAGACGCAGGGATGAGTGAATGAGAGGGTTCACCGAAGACGGCGAGGTCAAAGAGGGACCCACCACAACGAAACATCGGTGGATGCGCCCCAACAGAATTCCGTAGCTGTGAGACTCACAGGCGCACCGTTCACGTCCACACATCGACGAGCCCCATGTCCACATCAGATGCCCCGAGCTACTCAATGAGCGCAGGGGGGTCGCCCTCCCGCCGGCAAACACTCGAACAGACCCAGTACGCCGCGCCGACGAGGCGAGGCAACCCCCGCCGGGGGGGAATGCGGGAGGGTAGCCCCCTCGCCCCCCCACGCTGATCAAGAAACGCAGAGACACTGGTGGCGGACACCGAGTTCAAAAAGCGCTCTGCCATGGCTGTTCTTGCTCCGTGTGGAACTGGTTCCGTGCCATTTATCTAGCCGGGACAGTCCCGCGGACCTGCACACGGCAGGATGGGCGGTGACCAATGCACCCTGGCACTGGCGTTCGAGAAAAACTGGTCCTGCAGTGTCCTGCATTCTGGGGCGTTCCCCCAAGACCGGCTCTCCTGAATCGTCTTCTTCTGGCGGCCTGCCCGAGAACAGCGAAAAAACAGTGGGTCAAGCTCCCTCATAGCCCGTTTTCTTCATGGTGGCCACTGCACCCTGCCGCACGGCAACACGCCACACTGCGCTCGGGGATCTTCCGACAAGGGTCAATCCAGATCCGGGCCAGTGAGGCCGTGCAGACTCCTGCAAACTCCTGCAAGATCCTGCGCCCAAACCCGGGTCAATGCGAAGGATCCTGCAGGATCCTGCAAGATCCTGCACCCAAGTCCAGGACAGTGCGACCCTCGCTCTGCAGGATCCTGCAAGATCGGGCGCTCTGGCTGACCCCCGTTTGCATTGACCCCGTCTCAAGGCTTCCTGTGTGCGGCTCATGGCCACACGCCAGTGCTCCACGACTCACGGCAACACCGCACCACGGCAACACGCACGTGCTCCACGCCACGCTGTGCGGCTGTCGGCGCTGATGGACCACCGGTGTCGGATCGGGCTCTCCCCCCCGCGAGTTTCGGGCCCCCACCTGGAGCGTCGACCTGCAGACCCACAAGCAGACGCTTGTGCAAGTGCTCCTTCTCCTCTCGCCGCCGAGCTCCTAGCATGCCTCAGTCCACCGAACAAGGAGAGCAAAGGGGAAATGGAAGGTAAAGGGAGGAGAGGGGGCAGGGAGGGGCGCGAGGGAGAGGGGGCACGGGGGGGGAGAAGAGAAGACTCTAAAGGGAGGGGTGGACGTCTCCAACGCCGAAGGGGGGAAGGGAAGGCACATACCAGTAACCATACGACCTGCACTCGCATCTGGGGGCACACTCTCCACGGAAGTTCGCACATGAACCACGTCGGTGCGCACAGCAACAACAGTCCCCTTACTTGTAAAACGGGCTCACTGCTTTATGTTGCTCCCATCGCACTCAAGGACCATCTCCCAGCAATAAGTTCGAGCACCCGGAAAAGTGTCGAAAGCGGGTCGAAACAGTGTCGGACGAGTGTCTACCGGGGCCCGACATGTGAAAACCCTCGAGTTTAGGTACGGTACTTTGTTCTAGCGCTCGAAAGTCTTTCTGGTGGTCAAGGCTAACATCATCATCATCACCTGGGCGAACGGTGTCAATGGGGGAGCCTCCTCCTCCTCCTCCTCCTCCTCCTCCTCCTCCTCCTCCTCCTCCTCCCCCTCCTGCTGCCCCTCCCCGCTGCTGATCTTCCTCCCGCTACTGCACGCGTTCGCTCCGCAGCATCTTCGTCCCCCCGGGCCTTTGACTCCCCTGCTCGTCTCCAGCCCCAACTCCTCCTCCTCCTCCTCCTCCTCCTCCTCCTCCTCCTCCTCCTCCTCCTCCTCCTCCTCCTCCTCCTCCCTCCTCCTCCCCCCTCCCCCCCCTCCCTCCCTCCCTCCCTCCCTCCCTCCCTCCCTCCCTCCTCCCTCCTCCCTCCCTCCCCTCCTTCTCCTCCTCCTCCTCCTCCGCATCCTCCTCATCCTCCGTCTCATCCTCCTCGTCCTCCTCCTCCTCCTCCTCCTCCCTCCTCCTCCTCCTCCTCCTCCTCCCCATCCTCATCCTCTTCCTCCTCCTCCTCCGCCACCTTCCTCCCCACCTTTCCCCCCCCACCCCCGCCCTTCCCCCTACTCTTTGCCCTGCCCTTCCCCCCGTCCTCTGAGGGCCCAGAGGGCCTCCCTCCACTGCCTCGCTCCTCCCAGGGAGCCAGGCGCGCGGGGGCCGCTCCTTCTGGCCCGGCGGCCGCGTACGGCGGCCCGCTGGGGGGGGGGGACGGGAAGAGGCGGGCAGCTGGCGAAAGCGGAGGCGAAGTACGCAGACATTCGAGGATCAAGGAAAGGCGACACCAACACCACCAGGGCGAGGAGATACGAGGAGGCAAAGGGGGTCTCCCTGGTGGTGTGGTGCCCCCCTCTCGCTCGAGACACACCCAGCCTCCGTCTCGGGCAGGCATCGTTGACCTCCTCGTTGGAAGCGGGCCCCCTGGTCGTGCTGATGTCGCTTCTCCTCCCTCCGCCATTCGGGGAACAAGTCCTTTCTATGTTGCACCGGCGGCGAGCGAGGGGGGGAAGTGAGAAAGAGAAGGCCTTCTCAGAAGGCGGGGGGGCTTCTCAGAAACGCTTCGGCCTTCTGAGACATTTGCTTTGTCTTCGGGGAAGGCCTGGACAACTGTTCAGAAGGTCGGGGCACTTACGAGCCTTCTGAGAACACCCGCCCCTTCTCACTTCCCCCCAGGCTCGCCATCGATTTGGGGGACCTCGTCAATCCCATCGCGCCAGCCATCCGTGTCACATCCATGTCGAAATCCTAACGAAATCGTCGAGTCCGTGTCGAGTCCACTTCGAATTCACGAAACACAAGAAAAGACTGCCGTGTACATGGGGGAAGGTCAATACGGCCTCCGCAGGCGCCAGACTGTCCAAAAGACCTCAACACGGCTCTGGACAAGGCCAAAATGGCCCCACGAGGCAGTAATCCGTATAAAAAGAAGGTATGGGAATGACCCATATGCAACACCAGCATGGCACCATCCCCAATGTTCCACCCCGTCGCTTCCGCAACAGCTTGAGGAAAACCAGGTCCACTAGTCCGGCCCGACCTTCGCTAGACATTTCACAATTCCTGCGTTTCCAAAACGCAGAGGAACGGCGGTTAAGAATCACATGCGTCTTCGACAATATATCATATCATGTTTGGTCCACTTTTGCAAGGACAGCTCACTACCGATAACAAAATTTCATTGATGGGCTGACGAGGGCATGAGACTTGCAAATATGTGCACACAATTGTCCAACATGTTGTTCCAACTGTCGATGGCCTGATCATCTTGGCATGCGATGGCCTGGTCGGTCATTTTGACATGCGATGAACCTCATGCTTCTTATGTGGGTGCACGCTGTCCCACAACTATGCTCATAGTTGGAAAGACTCCCTATTCGGGTACAATTAAAACCTAGCTAAACGGATATACGTTCATATGACAGAGGGCAACCTGCATATCTTAGCTGTTCCATCCCAGGCGCCGTCATTCCAAGTATACCAAGACGAGGTGCCCTCAAGACATGCGAAACTTCTGCAAAAAGGAAAGCCAGTGAAGCGGAAATGATGAGTAGAGGTGAGCAGGTGAGGGGGGACAGATGGGAAAAGAGAGAGGGAGACAGGAAGCGAAGCGTAGACACTGGACTCCACAGCAGGAGACCCCATCTGGTGGAGGTTGAACGGTGACACCTGAACCCTCATTCCCTCTCATGCTCCCCTGCTCAGAGGTCTTCGCGTGGGCACGACTGGTATATAATACTTACCCTGTATATTGCACAGCTGATATGACATGAGTGCGGAGCCACATGCTGAACAACATAAGCCTGAATTGCGCCAAATGAGGCAGCCGAAAAAAGCCGGACAAAGATCGGGCCCATGACTAGCTCAACCCGCCAAGACTTGCCACTACCCTTCCCCACTCATCCCTCGCCCTCACTCCTCAACCCCCGCCGGTCGTTCTCACCCCGCCATCCGCCCTCTCTTCCGTCTAGCCGCCCCGCTCCCGCCCGATATCTCGAGAACGCAGATCTACTCTCCAATCCTTGCATTCAAGGATGCAAAAACGCCCCTACCCTGGGTTACAAGTGCGTGGTCCGTAAACCTCCTGGGAGCTCCCAAAAGCCAGATAGCCGCCAGGACGCCGCGCGACACGCGCGATATGCAAGGCTCACCCTGTCAGCCCACAGGAGGTCCGGCGCACAGCGCCTCGTAAACCAGGGTAGGGGCGTTTTCAACGCCCTCGATTGCACTCGCCACATCTGCACCCCTGGGCTGCGAGCGAGGGAGGAGAGTGGGAAGGAGAAGGCCCTCTGAGAAAGCGGCGGGACTTCTCAGAAACCATCGCGCCTTTTGAAACATGTCTTGTCTTCGGGGGAAGGCTTAGGAAACTTTCCAGAAGGCATGGGGACTTTCAAGCCCGATGAGAACGCCTTCTCCTTCTCACTTCCCCCCTCGCTCGCCGCCGAACCCCTCCCTTGCATTCCATCATTTTTTTGCAGGACGGCCCAGCCATTAAAACAGAAAGGCGATCGCCCATAACGGCAATCACGACAAGCAGCGGCCGGAGCCGCGTCGCCTCCGCCTCCTCCTCCTCCTCCTCCTCCTCCTCCTCCTCGTCTGCAATCTTGCTCCGACTCCACCTCCTCCTTCCGTCCCATCTTGGCGGCGAGCGGAAGGGGGAACCGAGAAGGACAACTCCTTCCCGGAAGGCGGCGGGACTTCCAGAACCCCTCGCGTCGTCTGAGAGGCTCTGTCTGTCTTCCAGGAAGGCTTACAGTGCGGGCGCGGCCATGAGAAACCCTCGCAAGAAACCCAACCCTGAAAACCCGCTCGCGAGGTGCACCTGAGGGGAAACCCGGAGCACCCTGAGCGCAGCAGCTCCCTCGACGGCTGCGGAGAGCCACCGCGCAGCGCGCGGAGCGAAGAAGCCCAGGATACCCCGACGAAAAGCATCTGGCTTCTTGACGTGCGCCCCCACTGCCAACTGCAGGACACCTCCCAGAAGGCCGGGGGACTTCCGAGCCTCCTCTAAGCAGGCCCGCCCGTTCTCGCTTCCCCCCCCCGGGCTCGCCGCCGATCATCCCCTCTTCCTGCCGTCGCGCTGCAAGGCCCAAGAAAATCGCCGTGGGGTACTAGGGTCGGGCCGGGCAAAAGGGGGGGATAGCAAAGGGGGGGTTTGAGACTCAGCTCACGCAGCTGATTTTCCCGGCGCCTCCCCGCGCTGGGAGGCGCCCATGTATCGAGGAAGGGGCCCGGCGGCAAGGCCGCAGCCAGCTGCATGCAGCAGATCTCGTACCCCCCCCCCTTTCCCTCTCTCCCCCTTTCGTTCGGCCCGATAGGGGGGTCAGCCAGAAGCGGATGGCTCGGCAGCTCGAGGGCCACTCTGCAGCGCCGCGCGAGAGACCCCAAGCCGGAGGCAGCGTGACAGCGCGCGCCGAAGCCACGGCCGAAAGCGGCCCTGATCCTGAAGCAGGGGATAAGGACGAGGGAAGGAAGACGACGACGACGAGGACGACGAGGACGACGACGACGAGGGGAAGGAGGAGCGAGGCGGGGTTGGAGCGCAAGCGTCGGCAGTGGCAGGGGGTGAGTGGAGGATGCGCAGGCGGGAGAGAGAAGACGGAGATCGAGGGGAAAGGGCACAAACACTCGGGGAACACTAAGCGGTGAGGTGACCACACCGCGCAGTCAGTCGGTGGGGATTCGGGGTCAGGGCACGGTTTTGGGAATCGAGCCGTCCTCAACGTCTCGGGCGACCAGAACCTCCGAGGTCCCATGCCCGTGCGGTGACGGACCGCGCGGTCAATCTCTTGGGGTCTCGAGGTCACCGCGCGGTCCGCCACCTCACGTCTGTGGGACCCCCACGAGGCAGGAGGGCAGCGCGCCCCGAAGGCAACCGAAGACGACGGACTTGCATCCAAAGTCCACGCAGATCAAAGCGCAGCCACGAGTCAGGACCTCCACCACGACCGCAGCCTGACGCCTGCCCCTCCCCTCCCCTCCTGCCCACCACCCCTGGCCAGGTCCATCGTTGGCTCCAGGATGGTGCATGGGTGGATAGACCTCCTGTGCAAGGCCAGGAGAGCAGATCAGATGCACCGGCGGCGGTCTCAGGACAACACTGGCCAGGAGCAGTGGTTGTGCGATACAGTAGGAGCTCGACCACGAGAAACCTTCCCACTAGAAACCCAACCCTGAGACCCCATGACGTCCATTGATGTTTGGTGTGGGATCGTCACGCTCTTCATGGCAAAACCATCAAAACCCAAAAAAACAAAGGGCACCCTGGAGGCAAGCAGGGTGTTTGTTGGCATGGGTTCCCACAATATATAATTACCTTCTGCGGATCTTGCCACACACGCGGCATAATCAACACGTCAATGGAAACGCAAACGCCAGATCGTTCTGCGACGGTACGTGTTACACCGAACGCAAGCAGAAAACCATCAAGTACGAGTCAGAAGCATAAGCTGGGACCTTCTCAACTGGGTCCGCAACTGACGGGAGGCTGCATGGTTTGGATAATAATACATTGACTGTGTTGCGAGCGCGGGTGGACGAAGACTAGCTCCAAGCACCTATGTGTATACACGTGGAAGGACAACACCCTGCACCAGACCTGCCACGAAACAAGGTGTGACACACAACGTGTAGTACGTGAATGAGGGACTTCCTCTCACTACAAGAAAGCCTTCAACGTCTACACGCTGCGACCGCTGTGTGTTGGAATGCGCGGAGGGCCTTGGACTACGCGACTGCAAGCAATACAAGAACGGCAAAATCAAGGAGACCGTGACGATGCAGCAATGCCGCCAAAATGCCAGCTGACAGCTGCAGACCAGAGACCAGAACCACCAGTGAGGATGCCCAGCCTGCTGCTCAACACCACCCAGCAACGATGATGAACTGCAAGCCCCGCGAATCGGCACCCAGAAGCGGAGCTGCTCGAGAAAACAGCTGGAACCGCCACGTGGCTGCATCACCACACCTATGACCAATGCCATGCGGGGATTCATCCATAAGCACCGCCTGAGAGATCGAACGTCGGGGACCTCGGCGGGCATGGATATACTCAGGACCTGGGGGGGGCAAACATATCCGTATCCACGGATTGGGCGGAGGTCCCCGACGATCGGACCCCCAGGCGTGGTTGTGGATCAAACCCTGCCTTGCAACAGAGTGCGAGACCACAACTGGATGAAGATCCATGGCGCTTGAAGTAAACGGGTCTTACTCTGCACAGAAAAAGAAGTCTCCGAGATGCAGAAGTGGTTCGAAGATGGGCGAACGCGACATCAAAGACATGGTCGTGGATGTCCTCGCGGACCGCCGTTCAAAGCGTTGATGTATGCGAAAACACTACCTGTCAAATGTTCTACGCAAGAGGTGCAAACGCTGAAAGCCGTACCACCGAAGAGCAAAGCGAAAATCTGGGAGGCCAATTCCGTTGGAGACAACCACAGACCCCACGATCCGATATGGGAAGGAGCACCTCGTGTGCCTGACAGGGACATACTGGTGCCAGCGTGCATGCCAAACCCATCCTCAACACGAGGCCGCATATGCAAGCAACGTGTGGTATGGGACACGGGGACACTACCCTCAGGTAGGGCGTGTCCTCCTACCGGCGGATTTTGGACGACAAATAGAAAATTGCCAACACATGTTCAAAACATGGTCAACAATAGTCAAGAATCGTTCCCAGGCTGACTATAATTGAATATTCCTCCTTTATTGGGACATGCCCGACTTAAAAAAAACCCGTGTGAAGACAACGACCTCCCGCCCACTCCAGGGACGATGCCGCGGCGGCTATACCGCGAGCTGCAGGGACCAGGACCTTGCTGCACCAAGCGCGACCACCCAGCTGGCGCGGCATGGAGGAAGGGAACGGCCAAGCGATGCGCGAATGCTCCAGGGCCTCGTAGACCCGCACACGCCGGACCAGGACATCCACAGGGGAACGAACAATGACATAAACAATAAAACTCGGAGGGCCGCGCGGATCTCTCTGATCCGCGCGGGCCTCCGAATTTGCATTTTTATGTCATTCTTCGTTCCCTTATCCAGCACCCCTCGAAACCATTATTTCCAGACGGCAGCACGAAGCAAGAACTGCCCTGCAACACTTCCGGAATACACCCGGACGCAAACCCTCAAAAAGCATGGCAAACACACCCTATAGACCTGGACATAGACCCGAATCCTACAGAGCTGCAGAACAGAACCTTCAACGAACGACCAGATCTGACTTTGCGAGAAAGGATGTCGTATCCCCGACTTGCCAATTTCCTGGTTATAGACAAGCGCGTTCCACGACTCGCAAAGGAACTACTCGCAAATGGCCTGGATCCGCCGCGGGAGACTTAGAAACCATGACATACAAGGGAGACATGTTGTTTTTCGCACGTTTGCGAGTACGCACTTTGCGAGTAATGGAACGCGCCTCGGTGAAATGAGTCCGTGTCCTGGTCCCCGGGGGCCTGAGTGCTCTCTCGACCTGCCGGCAGGCCCCGTGCGCAGCTGCGCCGAGGGGCCAGGTGCCCGAGCTCCGCGACGAGCGCCCCGAAGCACCAGCGCCGATGTCGCGCCAAACTCCCGTGGCGCCAGAGCGAGCACCCCGCTTCCACGACCCAGGACCTCCAGCATACTGAACAGATCAAGTTTCTACGGTTCTCCTCGGCTGCGAGCCTGGGGTGGAAGTGAGAAGGAGGAGGCCCTCTCAGAAAGCTCGGATGTCCCCCAGCCTTCTGAGGAAATTCCTTCTCCCCCCCCGAAGACACATCGAACCTCTCAGAAGACCGGAAGGCTTCTGAGAAGCCCCGCCGACTTCTGAGAAGGCCTTCCTCGTCTCACCTCCCCTCGGGAGCGGCCAAGAGGGGGGTGTCCAAGAGGGGGGGGGGTGCAAATCATGACCGGCGGCATGTGCGCGGCCCAGCGGGGGGGCCAGGGACGTCATGAAACAAGAAGAGGCGCCATGAGAGCTGGGGAAATATCATGGCCCCCGCCATGAAATCCACCCCCCCTAGTCATCACCCCCCTCTTTTCCGCCCCCGATCCCCTCCCCCATTCGCTCGCCGCCGATCTTCCCCGTCTTCGGTCTGCGCCCGTGGGGGACGGGGTAAAGGGGGCGAGGCTAATCACACTACCCACTCCTTCCCCTCCTCCTCCTCCTCCTCTTCCTCCTCCTCCTCCTCTTCCTCCTCCTCCTCCTCCTCCTTCCCTCCTCCTCCCTCCCTCCTCCTCCTCCTCCTCCTCCTCCTCCTCCTCCTCCTCCTCCTCCTCCTCCTCCTCCTCCTCCTCCTCCTCCTCCTCCTCCTCCTCCCCCCTCCGCTCGCCGCCGATCTCCCCCGTCTTCGGCCTCTGGGGGCCCTCGCCGTGGGCCGGGACCGTCAGACGTCGACCCGGGCCACCGGCGCCGCCCTCTGGCGGCGCGCCCCTCTCCGCCAGGGCTCCGGGCGAGCCGGCCGGCGCTCGCACTCGTGGCCTGCCCTGCACGCTCGAGATATGGCGCCAGCGGGCTCGAGGCGGCGTCAGACTGGACTAACCATCGCTCGGGCATCCCTAAGAAACCCTAAATCAGGAGCCCTAAATAAGGAACCCTGAGGTACAGTCGAGGCGTTGACCTGAGAAACCCTAAATAAGAAACGAGGCCCCTATTTTCCATGAGTTGAACTTCGATTTCGTATCGAAAACCTAAGGGAAATCCAAGGCGAGCTGCGAAATACTTAAGGAACACGGAGCCCCTCCCCAACGAAAAGGGTTCCTTCTTCAGGGCCCCGACTGTATGGCGCCAGCGGGCTTGAGGCGGCGTCAGGCTGGACTAACCATCGCTCGGACATCCCTTCCCCGTGCGTGTTTCGATTTCTTGCGCGTGTACTTTTCGCAGCAAGATGCTTCAAGATACTTCTGGACCTTAGAGGGCCCCCGAAAGGGCAGGGCCGTTGTTTCACCGCTTCCGCAAACATGTCTCTACCTATACGACCACCCTTCGGGTGATAAGGAGGTTCGGGGGGGGGGAGGAACCAACGTCTCACTCGATCGGTCTGACGATCGATCTCACTATCGATTTCACTGTCGGTCTCGCTCGATCGATCTCACCATCGATCTTACTCAATCTATGTCATTCGATCGATCTCACAATCGAACTGACTATCGATCTTACATTCGATCTAACTATCGATCTCACGATCGATCTCACTATCGATCTCGTATTCGGTCCCACTATCGATCTCACTACCGATATCACAATCGATCTCACAATCAACGTCATCATCATCAACATCATCGTCATCATCGTCATCAACGTCATCAGCATCAGCATCAGCATCATCATCATCATCATCATCATCATCACCGGGACACCATCATCATCACCTCATCACCATCATAATCAACATCATCATCATTACCATCATCATGATCGGGACACCATCATCGTCCCCATCATCATCAACATCATCATCATCATCGGGACACCATCATCATCATCATCGAAACACCATCATCATCATCATCATCACCATCATCATCATCATCATACTCATCATCATCATGACCCACGTCATCAACATCATCATCATTGGGGCACCATCATTATCATCATCAGCACCATCATCATTATCATCAAGATCGTCATCATCGGGTCACCGTCATCATCGTCACCATCCTCCTCATCATCATCATCATCATCATCGGGACACCATCATCACCATCAACATCAGCATCAGCAGCACCATCATCGGGCCACCATCCTGAAAATCATCATCATCACCTCATCCTCATCATCAACATTATCACCATCGTGACACCATCATCGTCATCATCATCATCATCACCGGGGCACCATCATCATCAAAATCAGCATCAACAGCATCATCATCAACCTCATCATCAGCACCGGGACACCATCATCATCATCATCATCATCATCATCATCATCTTCATCTTCATCATCATCATCATCATCACCATCTCACCATCATCTCATAATCAATAACGTCATCAGGATCGTCAACATCAATCTCATCATCATCATCATCATCATCATCATCATCATCGGGACACTATCATCATCATCAGCAACATCATCATCAACATCATCATCATCGGGGCACCATCATCATCACCACCATCACCACCATCATCATCATCAGCATCGTCAACAGCATCATCATCGTCATCATCATCATCGGGACATCATCATCATCACCACCATCACCATCATCGATACCATCATCATCATCATCATCATCATCATAATCATCATCATCATCATCGTTATCAACATCATCGACATCATCATCATCATCATCATCATTATTATCATGATCATCAACTTCATTATCATCATCATCATCATCATCATCTTCATCATCATCATCATCATCATCATCATCATCATCATCATCATCATCATCATCATCATCATCATCATCATCATCATCATCATCGGGACACCGACGGGACACCGGCGGGACACCAGCGGGATACCGCGGGCCACCAGCCCCTGGAAGGGAGTCATTTGGTCCGGCCGCGCCTCAGCCTGAGGCGGGACACCGGCGGGACACCGCGGGCCACCGGTTGCCGGAAGGGAGTCATTTGGTCCGGCCGCGTCTCAGCCACAGGAGACTTTCTTCTCGCCCGCCCACGCAGCTTCGCCTCGCCCGCACGCCCCCACGCACGAACACGAAACCGAAACCGATTTCCCGGTAGGGGGGCTCTCCGTTCCACTTCGATCTCACCCCCTCACCTCCGATAAAATAGTATAAAATGGAAACGGCGACAACACGGCGACTGGAAACGGCCAAAAAACGGCTCTGGGATTGGAGCTGGAGCCGGAATCGGCAAAAAGAAAAACGGCGACGGAACCGGTAAAAAAACGGCGTCGGAACCAGCAACAAAACTGCACAACGGAACCAGTGAAAACCGGTCCTGTCGTTTCCAGGGCCCACGAAGTTCTCGACTGACCTCGCCGAGGCAGAAAGGCACACGTCCGAGCGATGCCAAGCCTGAGGGACCCCAGAGGCCATAAGCACACCAAACCCTCACCCTGATGCTGTTCACGCCGCGAGCAGGTCTCGGTTTGCAGAGAAGGGGCAACAACAACGACCTGGGAAAGGGGATCGGGACGTCCAGGGACTCCGCTTTGAGGTGGCAGCATCCGAGCTCTACCCCCACCAACAATCGGATCTTCTGAATCGATGGGAGGCGGGAATAAGGTTCGGATTTCACCACGTGTTCGGTGAAGTACGAACCTCGGCGAAGTACGAACCTCGGCGAAGTACGAGCCCCATCGAGTTGCATATCGTTGATCGGCGAGAGTGAGGTTCGGAGTTCGCAGCCGACCAGAGGTTTAGCCTCTCTCCAAAGCGCCAGCTTTGAATCCCGAGTCGCTTCTGGGGTCCTGGGGCCCAGCAAGGGTCCTGGAGAGCGAGTGGCCGATGTGACCTCCGCTTCAAGACGTCGGCGTCGTCGGCGTCATCCGTCGTCCTCCAGCGTCTTCTTCGCCGCCGCAACGACCGCGACCGCCGTCGTTCTCGCTGAGGTTCGAGGCTCGAGGATCCAGTTCGTCTGGTGTGTTTGCCCCTCGGAGGCCTGCGTGCGGGGACCCTTCGAGTGGGGGATCGACTAATTACATCATCGACTTACCCCGAAACTGTTTTTGCTCGTCTGTCGATAGATCTACGAACATTCTACGATGTTTCGTGGATCCGACGCGAGAATCGATTCTGGGATGAAACGATTCTGTTCTCGATCCCATACTTGATGCCTGGGGACCTCCGGCGACGTCGTCGTCGACAGCGACGCCATCGCTGCGGAGATCTCTGGGCCCCTGGCGCCCGAGGCGCGGCGCCAAGACCGCCACGACTACGGCCCCGGGGAGATGGTCGGGCTTCCTGGGGAACGCACATCGACCCGTCGGAATATCGGAGCCGAATCAGATCACCCAGGCCAACATCGGCATCGAGCCAGCTTTAGGTCGGGCGTGTCCTCCTACCGGCGGATGCTGGACCCAACGAAAACGGGAAAACGGAAAAACAAGTGTTCCCACGCGATATGTTTGTTGACTATTGTTGAACGTTCCTCCTGTGGAAGGACATGCCCCTGATTTGGAGCCAATTTGGAGTCCCGAAACGGTGCAGTGACAGACCGTGCGGCGACCTCCGAACCCCAAGAGACTTCACCGCACGGTCCGTCAACGCACGGTCTTGGGACCCTGGAGGCCCGTGCCCCAAAACCGTGCGGTGACCCCGAATCCCCACCCGCTCACCGCACGGTGTGGTCACCACCCCGTTTGGGGGCCCCCGGCGAGTTCTCCTCCGACGGCCCCGAGCTCCGGAGTCCTCACGGGCAGGAGGGCCCGGAGACGCCGGCAGACACTCCAGGACCCCTTCTTTCATGCTGGCCCAGGGCTCGAGCTCAGCAGTGGTTTTCGTTTCCGTTTTCATGCTGGCCCAGGGCTCGAGCCCAAAGGCTCGCCGCACGGTGTGGTCACCGCACCCTTGGGGGGGGCCCCCGAGCCCAGTCGATGTGGGCCCTGGCCCCCGGGGCACGAGCGTCGAAGCCGCGGGCGGCGTCGGGCGTCCGGCGTCGGGGCCCATATGCGGGGGCGAGCGCGTGAGCGAGGGGAGTCGAGGGCGGTGCAGGGGCGCAGGAGGCAGCAGGAGGAGGAGGAGGAGGAGGAGGGGGAGGAGGAGGAGGAGGAGGAGGAGGAGGAGGAGGAGGACCAAATGCTTGCCTCTGCAGCCGCCCGTTGCGCGCCGGTCGTGCCTGGAGGACGGATGCCTATCATTCAGAAGTCACCTTGGATGAGAGAAAGGGTCTGAGAGCATTCCTTGGGAGAGACCGCTGCTTCTGAATGGTCATCTTCTCCTAGCAGCCCGCCGATGGAAAGCCCGGTGCGATCGAGATGTTTGACGTACAGATTCAGGTACTGTATGCCACGCTGGGTGCGTGCGTGGACAACCTTCAATGATACCTTTCCAAACATTTCCCAATTCATGTTTGAATCGACCACATCGTCCACTTTGAAATAGAGACCGCCGGTCTGCTTCGTCGAATCCACCCACGCCCCTGTGATATTCAGTTCTTGGAAATACATGTCTGCGCATCTTCCGCCCATTTGACGTGCCTCTGCGTCTACCCGAAGCAGCGCGGTCTCAACAACAACAGCGTCCCGTGGAATGTTGATCAAAACGTGCTTGCCAGGCTTCAACAGATCGAACCGCTCACCGTAAATGTTCTGCAGATGCGGATCCCCAACAGCGGAGCCGGCACCCCCAGCTGGAGGTGCCATGGAAGCGGCAGTCGGAGCGGGAGTCGGCGCGGCAGTCGGCTTCAGAGTAATCCCGTAGGCCGGGCTGCAAGGGTCCGAGGCAAGATCGGTATAGTACTGCAGGGATGCAATGACAGGGATGGTAATCCACGCGGCGTCCCCATCTGGGTAAAACCACCCATCCTCAGCATAGCACTCACCAGTCTGCGAGGATAAACCAGGAGTTCGGAATGTGGCCCCCTTGGCGGATGGGTAAGCACTCAAGACCATAAGGATGCAGTGGTGGCAAGTGTCCGCAGTACCAACGAAGACATTAGGGCCTCCACCCACGGCTGATCCTTGAATCCAACTCGCGCATGTTGCATCCTCTGGCCACTCGCTGTAACCACCGGTAAGGCCGCACGGGACAAGCCCCGGGCCGGGAGGCGGCGGAAGCGGCATGGGTGTCGGAGCGGGGCCAGTCGCCGACGACGCGGACGTGGCCGTCGTGGCCATCGCGGGAACGGTAGTGTCGCAGACCAGGACCAGCTCGTTCCAGCCCTCATCGGGCACGCGTGCGAAGTCGTTCGCGTAGTCGCAGTGATGCCACCATGGATCCATCAGGTCAGCAGCGCACTTGCTGTAGAATATCTTCCTGTGGGCATTCATGTCAGGCAACGCAACCGACCACTCGGATGGAGTGGCGTAGCGCAACCAATTCGGGCAGACCGACGAATACTCGTTGAATGGACGGAGTGTGGAACACCCGCCAGAGCACGGCGAAGCCCACAGGAAACACAGGCCGGGGAGGCCGTCGACCTCGTAACAGACATCCGCCAAGCTTCTTGTCCGCTGATGCGAATCGACTCCCGATGCATCTTCCTTCGAGCGGCAAAGGTTCCAATGCGACGAAGTTGAATGCCCAGTGATGGTGATTTCCGATTGGTGGTACTGCACGGTGCTGTTGAACTCGTTGAAGGAAGTATTCCCCGAGTCGGTGCTGCCCAGCGGGATCCTCTGAGATGGGTCCACGACCACCTGAACGACGGGAACAAACGAATCTTACGCGAGATGACATACCGACCGTACGCCGCGGCTTACGCGGGGCGCCAGCATGACACACCGCGTGGATTCGAGGGCGCTTGCGCGCGACCTGGCACGGGAAACTCGCGTGCGAATGTCCGCGCAACCGACCTCGTTTTCTTCCGTCTATCCCGCACAAACCAGGAGGTACCCATACCGCTACTCCCCTGACCGTTCATCGGTTGCGTTCTGACCAAGATTTCGAAGTGAATCCAGCGGTGGCCACAAGCGCCTCCACGGAGGTCCAGAAAGAAGAAAACATGGCAAGGGCAGCAGAATCGGTACCCACTCCTCCTCCGACGCTCACCTTGCAATGGCCCAAACCAGATCCGACAACGCAATCATCCTCCATGGTTCGGCGGCGAGCCAGAGGGGGGAGTGAGAAGGAGAGAATCTTTTCAGGAGGCGGCGGGACTTCTCAGAAGCCCTCGCGCCTTCCGAGAAATTTCCTCTGCCTCCAGGGGAGGCTAAGAAAACTTCTCCGAAGGCTGGGGGATTTCCGAGCCTTCTGGGAAGGCACGCCCCTTTTCATTTTAAACCGAAGCCAAGACGAAGATAACATTGGGTGAGGATGAATCGACCATCTCTGAGATCCGGCGGCTCTGGAAAATGTCTCGGGCGCCGCGGGCTTCTCAAAGCGTTCCGGAACGCATGGAAAGCGTTCCGGAACGCTCTGGAACGGATCTATCCTCGTCCTGTGGCCCTGTCCGGCTCTTCTCCCCTTCGCTCGCCGCCGAATGGTGCACGTAACGTCGCCGTGCGTGCGGATCTCGAGCAGCCACGAGGCGGCCTCGCCCTTCTTGGAGGCGGCGGGCTCCGCCGGCGCGCCGGTGCCCACGACCTGCACGGCCCGTGCCGCAGGGGGCAGCAGCCCACCGAGAGCGGCCGACACCAGGCATCCAGAGATGCGGGTCATATCGAAGGTGCTATGTGCCGAGGCCGCCCAAATGGGCGACGATCCAAGAGGGAACTGACAGTGGAGGCCAGTCCACAAGGAACCTTCCACAAGAAACCCAACCCTGAGACCCCAGGACGTCCATGGATTTTTGGTGTGGGGACGTCGCGCTTTCCCATAGTACAGACATCGAACCCCAAGGAACCCAGGGCATCCTGGGAGGCAAGCAAGGTGTCTCTTGGCATGGGTCTCCACTGCACGCGAGTTGACGGAGCGACCTTGCGCGGCGGCTTGCGCGGGCCGCCGGCGCGGCACGCCACATTGGAGGCGAGGCGCGCTCACGCGCGACCTTACGCGGGCAGCTTACGCGCCAGTGTCGGCGCAGACGACCCCGCTTTGTTGCGTCGCTGGCATTGGATCAGCGTGTAGGGGGGTCGGAGGGTCGCGCCGCATCGTCGATGCACCACCGATACATCGGCGATCATCGGCGATGCATCGGCGCCGTCGGCGTGCAGAAAATCGGCACCACATCCAACCTTATCGCCGATGCATCGGCGATGCGGCGCGATCCTCCGATCCGATCTGCTCCGAGCCCATCTGGGAGGCCTAGAGTGTGTACCAGTGTGTGTGGCCAGTGTGTGCCAGTGTGTACCAGTGGGTATGGAGAAAAGATAAAGAAAGTTAGCCACGCAGGCCTGAGCCACGATGGCAGCTGGAGGAGGGCAATCTCAGTAGCCGAGCACACACAGCATAGACACGAGCTCGCGGAGTCGGACGTCCACGTGGACTTCGTTAATCGGTTCTGGACACCCCTCCTCTGGCGCGCGGAGCGCGCCCGGGGCGTCGCCGGACGCGCCGCCCCAGCGCTGGTCCAAGAAATCCGCGGGGGGCCCGAGAGTGCATGTTTTTGAAGTCTCGTATCCCTCGAAGGGCGTCCCTGTCTCGACCCAACGCGGGCGCGGATCGCCTCTGCCGCGCTACGACAGAAAAAATCCGCGAAGGATGCTGGAATCGGGTCGGGCGAAAGGGGGGATAGCAAAGGGGGAGTTTGAGAATCAGCTCACGTAGCTGATTTTCACGGCGCCTCCCGGCGCCGGAGGCGACGATGTATCGAGGAATGGGCCCCTCGGTGGGGCCGAAACCAGCTGCATGTAGCTAATTTCGTAACCCCCCCTTTCGTCCGGCCCGATGGAAGCGACGCGGACACCCGCCATCGTCAGAACCCCTCTTCCCGCGCCCGTCCTCCCGCTCGCCGCGGTCGGCACTCCGGAGCCGCGGGCAGCGCACCGGCCGGGCACGACTTGTCTTCAGGGGCGGGGCCTCAGCGCACTTCCCTCGGCCACGCAGGCACGGAGGAGGGGAAGAGGGCGTCAGACAAACAAAAAACTGCATAAACATAAACATCAACTTACACTGTCGGAGCTCCGCGCGGACTTCCTGGATCGGCGTCGGACGCTCCTCCCTGGTGAGCCCATGGCGCGCCAGGGGCGGCGCCAGAGGCACAGCCAGGGGGGCCCATCGCCGATCGAAGGCACCCGCGCGGGGCTCCGAAGGGCGCAGTGGGCACAGCAGGACCCCAAAAGGACCCCCAGGAGGGAGGCCTAGCTCGGCGGCATGTCGAAAGATGGGGGCGGGCGGGAGGGGAAAACGCCACGCAGGCGCGGAGGAGTGGGGGAAGGCACGGCAGGCACAGGAGGATCCCAAAGAGATCCCCAGGACGGACGCTCACCTCGACGGCACGTCGACGGAGGCCAATCCCAGAGGGCCTCCTGGACTCTCGGAGAATCCGCCGACCCTGTCGGCGTGTGCGAGGGGCTTGGCTGTTCGAGTCGTCGTCTCCGTCGGTCGTCGCCTCCGTCGTCCCCTTTCCCTGCAGCTTCCTTCTCAAGCTCGTGAGCGAGAGAAAAATCGAGCAGTGTCGTAATCGAGTCGAAGGGAAGCCCCTTCCCTTTGATCCCTTCCCCAGGGGGGGGGGTCCCGGGGGGGGTCCCGGGGGGGGTCCCGGGGGGGGTGGGGGGGCAGATTCGTTTTTCCTCGGGCGGCCTAGAAACCTCGAAAACACTCCAAATGAGGTCCGAATGCCCAAGATGGCCCCCGAGACGGCCCAAGAGGGCCCCGAGTCGCCCAAAGATCGGCCGAAAACGCCCAAGATAGCCCCAAGACCGTCCAAGAAGCCTCCAAGACGTCCCAGGCCCCCTCCAAGAGACACCCAGGAAGCCCCAAGAGGCCCCCACGAGGCTTCCAAGCGGCCCCTAAGAGCTTCCCAAGAGGCACCACAAACTACCCCCAAGAGGCCCCCAAGAGCGCTCGTCGTCGTCGTCGTCGTCGTCGTCGCCATTCAGGGTCGGCGGCACCGGCCGTAAGGCCTTCGCAATAAAGGGACCCAGGGAGACGCAAACAACTCGACACACATTCAATCAAGTACCACTCTTGCACTCATGGTCTGGATGTTCGTCGCCCCATCCATTAACCACATTTCCCATCAGTTGCATACAATCGCAGCGTGTGTGTGTGTGTGTGTGTGTGGGTGCGCGTGCGTGTGCGTGTGCGTGTGCGTGTGCGCGTGCCTTTGCGCGTGCGTGTGCGTGTGCGTGTGCGTGTGCGTGTGCGTGTGCGTGTGCGTGTGCGTGTGCGTGTGTGTGTGTGTGTGCGTGTCTGTGTATGCGTGTCTGGGAGAGGCGGCTTCTCCACTCTCAGCCAAGGGAAGCGGAGAAGGGCCCAGCTGGAGCAGGCGGAACGAAACGCGCAGCGACGGTCGGACAATCACACACCCCGCCTCCCCCACTGGGGCCCCATGAGCCTGGCAAAAATCGTGGCCCCTGCGTCGGAGCCGGAGGTCGGCATCGGCTCTGGGGCCCCGGGGGGACCCTGGGACAGGCCAGAAGACCCCCCGCGCCCTCCTCCCGCCCACCCCTGCCATCCCTCCTCCTCATCCTCCTCGTCCTCCTCCTCCTCCTCCTCCTCCTCCTCCTCCTCCCGCGCCATCCCTCCACCCTCCCTCCACCGCTGGGCCCTCCCCTGCTACCTACTGGCGAGCCCGCGGGCTCGTCCGGGGCACGGCGGCCCCCCCAGAGTGCTGGCCACCGCGATCGGGAGCTCTATTGGGGCGCCGCGGGGGCGGGGTAGAACTGTGCGCCGGGAAAGGCCGGATGATACACCCTATACCTTAGGGGGAAAACACACCTACCTCGCTTTTGACTACCCTCGCTTCCAAGAGATACCAAACGAGGCCAAACTACGGCCTGTACTGGTCAGGCCGCTTGACAAGGAGGCGCGTGCTATGACTTGGTTTTGCCTGGAAGCGAAAGCGGGGTAGGTAATTCACGCTCTGATACCTACAGATACCCCCTACCGCGGAATTCGAATCTCGAGGGCGACGCGGCCGCAGGAGGTCCGAGGTGGACTGCTCAAGCCAGAGCGCCCAGGCACCCCGGAGGTTTCAGGAGGAATGCGGTGCTGGTTTCCGATTTGCGAGCCGCCTTTTGTCATGCGGCGCGTGGGGGGGGGGATGACCACGCAGCTGGCATTGCAAACAAAAAACAGGGAGGGCGATTTGCAGCTAGCAGAAACACCCACCCCAACAACGCAACTACACGCCCAGGGGGCGGGGGCCACACTTCTTCCAGACCCAGATGCACGAGAGGTGCGCCACATGCCCGTGACGCGGCCAGGCGCGCCTGGCCCACGCAGCGCCGCCGCGGGACGAGACACAGAGGGGGCCGCCGCGCAGGGGGGGCCACACCCTGACAGCACGAAGCGCGCGCCCGAGCATGGGCCGCTGCGCCAGCAGGGGCCGCCAGCCGCGGGCCACGCGATGGAGAGGCTCCCTCGTCCGCGCAAGTCGCGCGAGCGGCCGCCGATGGGCGGCCGCGGGCATCCCGCTGCCAGCCTTTCGACGCCGCAGAAGCTCACTCCGACGGCCACAACGAGAGACGCCGCAGAGGCTCACTCCGACGCCGCAGATGCTCACTCCTACGGCCAGCGGTCACAACCTGTGTCCCGTCCCGCCTGGCCGACCGCCTGCTTCGTCCCGCCGGCCCTGGTAACCACCCGGCGCGTTCGCCGTCGCCTGATTGCTCCTCGCTCCCTTGCCTCTCTACGCCGCCGCGCGGCACAAACTGCAAGGAGCCGGCAGCGCCAGCGCGAGAGGGACACGGGAGGGAGCTCATGTCAGAGCGATGGGGGAGGGGCAACAGCAGGCCACCCAGAGGCAACCCCTCCTCGCCCGTCGCGCCTCGCGGGGCGGGAACCTCCCCGCCGCACACCTCCTTCCCGGGGAAACCGAGCCTCGGGGACGGAACCTGCGTGTGAGCAGGCACGAGCTCGCTTTGCCTTTCCAGGCCCTTTCGGCCCCTCCCGCTGCGTTCGCGGCCTGTTCCATTACTGGGCGCTGCGGCTAGACGTCACTGACAGACCTGGCGGTGACCTCGAAATCCGCAAAGACCTCACCGCAAGGCACAACAACAACAATTTGGGACCGCGGAGACCCAGTCGCCGGAGCTGCGGGATCCTGCGCGCAAGCCCGCGTCAGTGCACCTCTGATCCTTCAAGATCCAGCGACCTGGCTGACCCGTTTGCATTGACCCCCGTCCCAAAACTCCCGACCACGCGGTGTGGTCAGCAAACCGTTTGGGGGCCCCCGATTAAGCGGGCAAGATTTGTATCCACATCCAGTGCGTCTTAGACATACTTTGAGGGCGCCAAAGGCCGAGGCGCACTGTACAAGGATAAATCGAGCATCTATGGGCCAGATTCTTATCTATATCCGGTGCGCCTCGGGTTTCCGGGGAAGGGAGCCCGAAATTCCAAGCTGCATTGGATATGGACACTTGTGGTGTCCAGAACTCGGATAGCGAGACGGCAGAAGCTTCTGGAAGCGAAGGAGCTCTGGAAACGCTTGGAAAGACCCTCTGGAGAACTGCACGGCCAACGTATGTTGGGAAGAACTGAGACAAGGCCTGCCGGGACACGATGCGACCTCAAGCGAGTTCTTGCAAGGTGTCCTGCCAGAAGCTGGAACGCGTTCCGGTGCTAACCGGCACTGCGGACGGCTTCTCATTTGAAACACTTTTAGATCTCATGGCCGCGGGTCTTCTCAGAGGCCCTCGCGCCTTTTGAGCAGCTATTCTGTCTTCGGGGAAGGCTTAGGGAACTTCTCAGGAGGCCTGGGGACTTCCGACCCTTCTGAGGAGGCGTTGTCCGTCTCACTTACCCTTAGGTCGGGCATGTCCCCCTGCAGGCGGATGTTGGACGAAACATTAAACATGGTCAACAAATGCACCAACCATTTGCAAACATGCTCCAGAAATCGTCCCCCTATGATGTAGTTTTCCTTTTTTTGGATACACCCCATGTGGAGGGACAGGCCCGACTTACACCTTACCCCCACCCCCCCCGCTCGCCGCAGAGATCTATCCGGGGACAAGTCCGGCCCGCGGACGGGAGGTCCACCCGCCCGCGAGCCTCCGCGCCGAGGCGGGGAGCTCGCCGCTCGCCGCCCCCCCCCGCGGGCTGCGGACCCGGACCCCGGGCGCCGTCGCTCCTCGCTCGTGCACGCCGCGGGCCCCCAGAGGCCTGGACCCCTGCTCGGCCACAGTTGGCGGCGCGCACAAGGGGGTGCCCTGAGGTTGCGCACAACTATAATATAGTTGTGGTTGTTGAACAACTATATATATAGTTGTACAACTATACATATTGTTGTACAACTATATATATATATAGTAATACAACCATACATATAGGTATACAGTGTGTATGTCAGCTATTCTAGCTGTTAGATGCCGCTG